GCTGATATACGAGAAAAAAAGGAGAGTGCGACTGAAGGAATTGCGCAGAGAGATGCGAGGGGCTTTCAGAACAGCTCATTGCTTGATGTCGGTGGAAATCTCAAATCTCACCTTATTATCTCAGTGGTTTTACTGGAGATAGATTTTTGCAAGGAAATCCATCGAACTTTGCAATAATTGTCAGAGTGTGAAACCAAATGTGGACAATTTTTTCTCGAACTGCACCCCGTTCACTGTTCGCCCAAAAACCATGGCAGAAATGGGGATAGACCTTTCATTCCCAGAATTGGATGGATTCAAATGTCGTAGTCGCTATTTGCTACTTTTCAAAATGGGTCGAGGCTGAACGTCTTCGAGACAAAATTGCTTCGTCAGTTCCTGTACAAGCTGACTTGTCGACGTTGATGTCCACAAATTCAGAGCAGGAATGCGAATGTCATCTGAGCTCTGAACTTCACCGAATCACAATCACATACGTTTATGTAAACGTATGTGAGAGGCAGAAACTACGAGAGAGGCGAGAGTGCGAGAGGCAGAAACTACTGATTGTCGAAAACCGGGAAATTTCCTTCGGAACTTTTAGGAGATAAATTGCACCCGTGTGCCGGTATCTTTTTCCCCTGATATTTTTTGCTTGAAGACAAGAACATCACTGCCGTTCTTAGCTGGGAAGATTCCCATTTCTGTGTGGTTTGCTTATGACTCTTTGATGACGTCACCTACTCAATTGCTTTTGTTGGCCGGGAAATATGATGCATGGAAAGCTCAAGAAAAAGAAGTGGAAATGGAAAGAGGCATTTCACCATTTTAACACCGAGAATATTTCTCATGACTTGAAATCAGACTCAAACGGAGATTTCTAATATGCATTTGAATCAAATTGTTTAGGGCGATTTTTGGTACATCTTGCTGAATCCTCTTCTTTTTTTCTTTCTCTCAAGTCTAATTTGGTATGTCGTGAGTAATGGCTTCGCAATTGCCGCTGGAGCAACGAAGAAAAGTTGTCAACTGTCTTTGAGGGTTCATAGGCAGTTTCGGCGATGTTTTAGTGCCGAGCGGAGGACATTCGGAGACACTTTTAAAACTCAGAAATACATCCATTTTTGGCAAAAGATAATTCCAAAGAACATGCTGTCGTTCATTTACAGAGTCCATTAAAAGTCGTCATCTTGAATTTCGTCGAATGCCGAATTGGAGAGGCGAGCAGTCCCAGCGAGATGCAGGTTAGTTAGATAACCTAGCCACCTCTCGCACAAGAGTGAAGATGACCTAAAATGAATTTTTCTCTTCCCTACTCTTTATCCAGGACAGTGGGAGAAAAATGCAATCTCGCACCCTGTCCAGCAGGTGCAGTGCTGAACCGGCTGGATTGCACCGTGCAGTTCCCTTAAACCCTTTGCACTCATGTTTCATAAAGCATAATACCCAGGGTGTGACATGATGCTAACCATGCAAATAAATACATAGCCAAATATACCCTGGAATACTATTTCTTTCAATATGTTACAGATAAGTGGTGACTCGAGCACTTGACTTGAGTGGTGACTTGCCGGGAGACACCGGACACTTGATTCAGTGAGCATAAAATATGTGGCGGAAGTCTCCCGACACATAACAAGAGAAAATATACGAAGTCGAGAAGGACCCGACAGATGAGTGCAAAGGGTTAACGGTCTTACTGCGCTTCGGTACCTTCAGTATCTTTCGATCGTACCTTGATTGCCGAGGAAGTCACTGCGATTACACGATCCCCTGCGAATGGGAGGCAGCCGATGGTCCTCACCAGCTGGGTCACATCCACGTTGTGAGGAAGCAGACGCATAAGAGGAAACACGGGCGCATGAAATGAAGATATGGTGACCTCGTTTCGTGCCGTCTGGAATTTTAGCCTCAAGGATTATTTTTAAAACTCCTGCTATCTTCATACCCGTCCCGATTCTCGCCTAGATTCTTAACTTAGTGGCAGAGCGTCCGCGTGCCGTCCGGGAGGCTGGGTTCGATCCCAGCCAGGCCCTACCCAGGCTGTAAATTGGGTACACACCATCACATTCCTCGCCGGAATCCAGGCGCTCGGTACCCGGCTTACAATGGAGGAGGAAGGGTGTGGGAAATAACTGGGCCGCTTCGGCCCATTATTTCTTGCATTACTTCACAAACTTACTTTTAACATATAACAATTCTCATACTGTAAGATTTGAGTGGATCATGGTATTATATTTATAGAGCCGGGTACCTGTGCTAAAAAAATTAGGTAACCTTAACCCTAATTCATAAGACAGACTACGTCTAGCCCCAACCTTTTAAAAGGGGAGGATTAGATTAACTCCTTTAACTAAGATTAAGAGGGATTAACTTCCCAGTTTCACTTTCCACCTTATAGATACAAAAAAAAAACTGTTTCCGTGCGAACAGATGGTCTAACGCAGCGGTTCCCAAACCGTGGGTCGCGAGAGGCAAGCTGGGTCGAGTACATTTTCCCAGCATAAAAAATCACTATATCCGCATCCGCTCCAGGATAAAACATGCCCTGCAGAAAAAGTCGATAAATTTTCCTCACGTCATAATTACTTCGAAAATAACTCGTTCTGGATTCCGGTGGGTCGCGATTCATAGGAGTCTGGGAACCGCTGGGCTAACCAAATGACACCACATAATGCAGGGCTGTGACACTTTTAAAACCATTTTTAAACATTTGTCCGAAAAAGATCTTATCCTGGCTCCCACAGCACCCATCCAGCATGCGATTTTTCTTTCTAAATCAAAGCCACAAGTTCAAAAATGTTTAACCGGCTCTTCTGGGGCATATATCAGAATCTGTCTGGGAGGAAAATAGATCTTATCCTGGCTCCCACAGCACCCATCCAGCATGCGATTTTTCTTTCTAAATCAAAGCCACAAGTTCAAAAATGTTTAACCGGCTCTTCTGGGGCATATATCAGAATCTGTCTGGGAGGGATAGTGAAACTTGGAGTTGACCATGTCTCCCCTTTTTAAAGATTGAGGTAGATATGGCTATCAGGCGTGGAAAGTCGCCCGTGGGTAGATCAAAAACTAAATCACATCTTGTGATTCTTATCGGCATGCGGGGGCGAAAGTGGAATTGGGCAAATGGAAAGAATTCGATCTTCCCCGTGGTCTGGGAAGCGTAGAAGCTACAGTAAGTGAAAAATAAAAATAAAAATAAGGCTGGGATTTTCAAAAGTCAGAGAGCAAAGTTAAATTTTCCTGTTCCGTTTCCAGGTACCAAAATAATTTCCCTTTCGTTATTCGCCTCCAGAACCCTGAGCTGCCCATCCATTTACCTTCTTATGGTGGAGCATGTCAACTGCACTAGGACCGATTCTGAAGAAAATCGAAATTGAAAGAGCCACACAGGAGCATCACCAACTTCGAGAAGCATAGGAGCAATGGGGCAAACAAAAAACGATTACTTCATTACTCACTTTACTACCACGTAAACTAAATATTTTCCGGGGGGGGGGGGGGGAGCTTAGCCTCCCAAGCTGGCACTGCTCGTGCGGTGTTGCAATGATGAGAAGCAGCTTGTTTCCTTTATTTAAGAAAAAATGCCTGAACCAGGTCATAACAGAAAATTCATGAGGTGCAAATTCTGACAAAAACTCAAAATCATGCCAAGAACAGAGGGTAACCACAATTATGTCTCATAAGACTAGAACTGCAATAAACTGTTGTACCCTGGGTACAATTTTCATTGCGTTCATTGATTTCGTAGTTTCAACCTGTCCAATGAATCAGTCTAAACACTGATATTCCCTGGCTGATTTGCCTCATCCATATCATACCACGTATTGCTTGAACGGTGATATACAGCTACAAAATGCCCATCACCGGATGAAAGCACAAGGGAACAGAATTTCACATTCAACATGAAAATAATGACAAAGGAGAAAGGAAATTATAATTCAAATGTCTGCAAGTATGGCGCCAACATGCATCATTTATATTTGGTTGATCTAATCACAGTGTATTTGATAGCCACAAGAGGATGTTGTGTATGCATAAATTCTACATCAGAGTGAAGAGCCACAAGAGGATGTTGTGTATGCATAAATTCTACATCAGAGGGAAGAGCACAAGAGGATATCACATTTACTTCTTTGTCCTGATCAATTGTGGTCAATTTTGCCACATCTGCTGGGATATTTCATGCTCATCAACTGCTCCCAATTTGCACAATTGGATAAGCAACTGGCCAATTGCAGAAATTACATCAGCACCTGAATTCTGACCAGAATCATGCGAGAGGAAATAGCTGCAAAGAACAAGGTATAAATGCATGACGTTTCTGCTCAACAAGGCACAACTAAGCAGAAAGGTATTAATATTTATATTAAAGCTATTAATACATAATAATGTTTGCACATCCAATACATGTCTTTTATGTTCATCTGAGTATTGAATAAAATCCACCTCTTCATCCACCCTGATGCCACCTCTAAGGAAATCATAAAAAAGCCAATGGAATGAACATTAATCAGCGAAAAAACATCACAGATAATTCAGCATTGTGTACATGGCTTTAAATGTCATTTCCATCAAAAGCACAGCAATGACTGATGCCTCAAAAAATACATGCAATTTTCCTGTTAGCTTTGAGGAATTAGAGGTCTCATTTCCATGAATCATGGGGTTCCCAATAACAAACAGTATCTATAAGCAAAAAAGGGAGTCTACACCTTGGAGAATCAAGACATCATTAACTATAAGGAAAACAATGTGGCACTGGATGAAGAGTCTAACATGTAAATGCTACAGGAAGGATATTGAAGGCAATGAGATCAACCACAAACCAGGACCCACTTTTGAATGTTTAGCCAACAAGGATGGCATGAATAATGAACTCAACTTCACACTCATAGCAAAATTAAACAGGATTCCAATGTCTTTCATGACTGTCAAGAAATGCTTGTGACCCCACATAAACAATATTTTGACTTCTTTGCACTAAAAAATGGCTAGAGGTAAGACGTATGGCACTCATGATCCCAATTGTACTTAATGTTATCAAGATTTCCATTCTCTAATTAATGGAACAATCACATCAATCTCTGAAAGGGATGAGTAGTTTGGAATCTTTCAAGAAGTTCCAGTTCGTGCCACATTCACAACGGGACTCTGAGAATACAACAGTGTTGCATAGATGACAATGACTAGAGCAGCAAAGGTATACCCATCTATGGGAATTCCAAATATGATCCAAGTGAGGACAGCCGTAAAGACAAGCTCAAGGGCACTGGCAAATGCTTTCAAAATTGAATTGAGCTGATGAAGAAAGAAACTTGTCACTATTCCAATGGCTGCATTATTCACAATTATCAAGAAGACTTTGGGGTCAAAGAGGTTCTTCCAGTAAGATGAATCTTGAATTTGAACCACAGTTTGATCCAAGTACATCAAGAAGAGGTTGCATATGATGGAATTGAAGTACATATAGAGGTTTTGAACCATCAGGGGGGTTTTGGCACCATAGCCTTTCAGTAGGTATTCATTGAAGACCCCAGCAAAACTGGATGCAAATACCTGGTTGAAAAAATTCCATACAATAAAGGTCATGAAAGCCCACTTGTGGAAACTCCACATAATTTTCATTAAGATCAAGAAGAACCTAACCTGGAGTAGGATGAAAATTATGCCAATATTGAAAAGGGCTGCAGTGATGTGAGAGAAGATGACTTCAGGTAGAGAAGAGGATAATTCTCTGGCTTCATTTTGTGGCTTGGTGACCCCAATGTTTTTTACAATGCAACCAAATGTGAGGATGAGCAATGATATCCACTGCCTGAATGTGAGGATCTTCTTAAAGAGAGCCTACAGAGAAATAGGTGGGCAATCAAGAATGAATGCAACTTCATTTCATGAAAATCAATTTGTATAAAATATTAAAGCTCACCTGGAAGCAAACCCCAGTAACAACAACCCGTAGTTGAAGCAACAGAAAGTATGTTGTTGGATCAAACGTTCCCAGATTAGTGAAAGCCAGGTTATTGTAGAGACAATATAGAAATGCAGGCACAAAATACAGCAACAGCACTGAAATAGGAGAACCAAAGGCAGTGAATTATGAAGAACAAGTCACTTATTCCCAGAATGCACATACCCAGAAATGTGACATTTTTGCTCACCTTGGCGACTTTGGCAGATGTCATGCCACAGTGTCTTCATGTTCCCACTGCAAAAAAATAATATATTGATTATATAACAACAAATTTTCTTAATAGTACTGGAAAATATATTTTAAAGATATAAATTGATTTTCAAGGAAATGAAACAGCACAGAGATTTCTGAAAAGGACTTGAAAGACTTACTCTTTGTAAAAGTAGATAAAAAGGGAGAGGAAAAGTTTGAGGACTTCTGTCATCAACACAGCACCAATAGTGCTATAGCTATACTTGTTCTTGGCATCCTGGCTACCCTTCACCAGCAATCCTACAAAATATAAAATGCAACCTTGATCCATCCTCAACATACATATATAAATCAAAATTATTGAACAGATTCCTAGCCTTGATTGATGAAGAGGGCAATGTATGATAGAAATGTGATGAAACTGCAACTGGTTGGAAAGAGCTCCTTTGAAAACAGGCCAGAGCATGGTGTCTTGGATACACCAGAATGGGACGGGTGCTTGTTCACATGTTTAATCATGCCATTTGGTCTTCCCTCCTCCAGAAGGGTCACTTCCTCTGCTTGATGCATTGTAATGTCATGACATAATGGGGCTGGGTGGTAAGGGAATTTTGAAGATTACCCTCAAATTGCAATGAGTGAACCTGGAAATCCAAGGACAATCAGCAGGAGTTGAGTCAAGCAAGCTGGAATGATCCTGAAAGTACTTTAGAAGTCCTCTTGTTCCAGAAGGAATACAAGAAATGACTGCCCCCTCAGATTTTAGATGTGTCACTCAAGACCATTTTGAATAAATGTATTTAAAATGAAAATCCTTATTTTCTAACATACATGTAGGCAATGGCAACAGCCACACCTCAAAGCAGAGTAATATCATCACTTTGTTTTCTTTCTTTATTTTTTCTAGGTGATTTGCTCAAGCATCACATCAAAGTTTGGTTGCTCTGAATTCATTACAATTGAATGATTGAACCATACACAAGATAGACCAACATTGATGGCAAAATTGCAACAGCTGGAAATTAATACTATGCCTCAATTACTCAAGCTAAGCAAAACATGTGGCTAAGTAATAAATACTCAACTCATTCTGTACACAGAGCAAACATTTTGAGATTCTTGTTCTTGACACTAGAAGGACTGGGGAAGTCATTTTGATTGCTTGCCAATTTTTAATGCATTTTACTCTGCTCATTTGGCAACTAAGGGCCTCTGCAGTTTTTACTTTTTGTACCTAATATCAACATTTTAACATATTGAATATACTAAGTAACATCTGGAGAAAGCAAATAAAATGTTACAGAACAATAGTTTAATACTACTTTTAATGCAGCATTCGAATTGACTGCTCCTGTCCTAGCATTAAAGGCACAAAAACAATCACTTAGAAAGGATATTTTTGTCCAGATTTTAAGTTTGATTTTCTGGAAATAAAGCTTTTTTAAGCCAAATTTTTAGTACTCTTTAACACTGCTGTCTTGTGGGATTGTTACACAATCTAACTGCTGAGAAAAGTAGTTTGCACAAATGGATATTGATCCCAAGTAAATCAGATTAATCTTTAGATAACATTAATTCTTTGAGAAGCATTAGTTCCATCGCAACAATCACCAACAATGGAAATTAAGGTGCCATATTGATGCTTCCAGCTCAAAGGAAATGGAGCCAATGGGGTGGGGAGAATTATCCCTGCCAGCAGGCCTGACAAGCAGGACAAGGATGCATGTATCCATCCTGAGGGTTGTTCACAAAAGCAATTTAGGGAAAATCAGAAGTGTGCTTTTTTTTTAACACTTGCAAGAGAGTGCCATATTAAAATGTCTCACTTGTGACAAGAATTAAAGGAACACATTCAATAAGAAATGATATTTTCAATCACAATTTTCAATATCATTCTCACAGATTTTCACAAGAAATACTAAAAATTTGACCAGACTTATAACAGCTGTTCTGCACTATGGGCAGAGAGGTCCATAAGTTTCCATGCTGCACTAGCATTGAGTTCATTTGGGTCTCGACACAAAACCCAGACGTAATTCACCCTCAAAATCTTATTAGGGTCACCTTCCACTACGGTACCAGATGCATCTCTCACACTTAGGATTTGCTGGGAGGTGAATGTTATGATGAGTACAGGGCCTTGCTCCATCACCTTCCCCATTGAAAGGTCCACATTGTCCACATCCAATACCTTAGAATCAAATTTATAACCCAATTGTTGCGCTGTTCGAATGGGGGTGGCAAGCACATTGAATGGGGCTTCGTGACACCAGTCTCGCAAAATCTCAAGATCTCCTCGGATCATGGCTTCTAAGATGTTTGGAATTATCTCTGTCTCACACATTTTGAGAAACTCATTCTTGTCAAAGTTGGGGTCCATTTTGCAAATTTCAGTCAGGGTTTGAGATAACTCTGTCTTCTGGAAAAGACCACCCATTATGTCTGTAACTTTGTCAGTGAGCATTCGAGATGCCCGAACAACTGGATTTTCACTCTCGTCATACTTGACCTTCCAATCCAAAATCTTGTTCACATAAGGGTTATTGTCTTTGAAGTTCTGCCAACTTTGAAACCATTTTGAATCTTTGTGAAGCTCTAGACCTGTTGCTTCTGTATTTACTTGCACATCACGATGTTCTGAGGTCTCCACTCTCTTACGAAGCTTCTGCGGAGCTCTATACATCCGTGCCCTGGAATCAATCTCCTGCTCCACTGCTTCAACACCACTTTTGATGGTCTTAAAAGGACCCATTTTAGATATGCTCTCTCCAGCTTTGGAAACAGTCTCAGCTGCAGTATAGGCTTTCTTCCCCAAGTCCTCAGTGATCTGACCTGCAATCAAATCATACAATACCTGGTTTGCAGTTCAAGATGAAAGAAACCAATAGACAAAGACGGATGCAAAAATAAACTGCATTTATCTAAAATGGAGTTTCAGCAAGATATTCCATGTTAAATTGTTCACAGATGCAACAGGTATATGACAGAATAGAGATGCTGAAGTAAGGGAGGAAAGGAGATTGCTGGACTAGTTTGACACTAAACATAATGCATATGGAATGAAAGTCAATAGCACCAAAATATAAGTTATGGCCCTCCTAAGAAATTCCATCCAGTGTCCCCTGCATGTTAAATGAAACCACTGGAACAGGCAGAAAGTTAAATACCTTGGGCTCTTGAGCAATGAGTGAGATCTGCAGTGAGATCAATAGTTACATCTCCAGGGCTTCCACAATTTAATGGAAACTCTGGAGGACCATCGTTGCCAAATCTAGCATTTCCAAAGACCCAAAACTCTCTCCTTTTGACAGCCTACATACATGAACTGTAATGGATGGATGTAGGACTGTAGTGAATGGTAATGACTGCAAGAAGCAGATCATGGATATGTGCTGACAAAATGAAGTCCTTGGGGTGGGCACCATGACATGACATGCTATATTATATAGACTTTCTTTTATTGAAACCTACAGAATATGCATTGAAGCTGGGGTAGCTGGTTATTAATTGAAACCTTCAATGGATCAATAGGTTGCCAAGTTAACTCAAGGGATCCCCTACTCTGATAAGGAAAATTGAATTTCAGTCTTTTTATCAATGCTGTTGCCAAGTAATGAGTGATAGACTCACCTGCTTTTTTTATGTACTCTGACTTCTGTACCTCTTCAATAGTTTCTCCAAGTTTCTCCTTCACAGATGTGAATGTCTCCCGAAATGCTTGTGTTCCTCTTGCAGTCTCTTTCTCAAAATCCTCATACTTCTTACTATTTTTACAAGGAGGAACAAAATTAAATAACAATTGATGCTTGTCTAGACCTAAATTCATTATACTTTCATTTAGCAGCAAAAACTGGGTCCATAACAAAATCAAGAATGGAAACAAACACTCATTTGCAAAATAACATGAAGAGCAACAGTGACTGCCAATGTAAACTTTGCTTCATAGTAGTGAAGCATGCAAAAGCACTGATTTCAGGATTCCTATAACCACCCTTACAGGAGGGAGGTAAGGGAGAGCTGTCTTCCTTGGAGCAAGAAACAAATACACTACAAGCATGTGCTATTGGCCTATCAAGGAAATGAAAATAAACATGACCAGAAAACATCTCACCGAGCACTCCTTAGAGCTTCAGACTGCTCCAACTTCTGGGCCTCTTCACGGAACTTCTTTACGTTCTCCTTCATCTCTTTATTTCGTTCCATTTCTTGCTTGATATTATCAATAAACTGGCCAAAGAAGCCAGGTTTCCTTGATGGTTGGGATGACAACATTCGAACGATGCCAGGATTCCCCACTGCCTGCACATCACATCCAAAACCAGAGCAAATTAGCCTTGGGTCTGAGTAAGCAAGTTACATCCATATATCAGTAAGTAAATTTCTTGGTAGTGAGTAAAACCACAAATTCACAGACATGGTTTTTTATGTCAATCCCCACCAGATCCATACAATATCTCACATCCCATATTTTCACATACTTCAGTTCAATGAGGGCACTGTCCATCAATTACTGAGAGAATGGTATACCCAATCCACAAACATTGCACTAATGTCCATATAATCTATCAGACATCCCCCTACCTTCTAACCCTTTTGCTTCAGAATGAGAATTAGTGCTTTTCTCTTTG